CTTTTGCTCTCCTTTGTCAATGGGAACTTGGGTTGTTCCCACATTGGGTTTTTTTTTTTTTTTTTGGAGAATTTTATACAGGAGTACTGTATTTAAATCATTCTCCCCCTCTCTCTCCTCTCTCCACTTCCTCCCATGTCCCTCCTACTCCTTCCCAAATTGATGGTCTCTTATAATTTATTCATAATTGTCACCCCCTAGAAGAAGAGCCTCAGGCAGTTGATGGTCTCTGAGAGACAGAGTAAGGACAGAGTGAGAGGGGAGGAGGGTGAGAGAGAATAATTCTTCTCCAGGCACATCTTTCCTTATTGCCTAGCCAGTCTCACAAGGTTATCCCTACACTCATATGAGCAATACTAAGTGAACTCACTACGGTGTGTTAATAAACCTGTGAACCTGCATATGTAACAATTACAACTGAAGAATAAGAAGCCATGAATTTGTCCCTGCATTTTGGCCATCATCCTGCTGTTAGTCTTTATGACAGTTTCCAACCCTTAGCAGTGATGTTCTTTGTGATAACAATGGGCCAGAGTGTTTGTTACACTTGATCTATCTTCATCATTCTCCCCATTTTACAGATGGAGAAACTGAGGCTTACTTGCTTATAGGTTTTGCAGACACTGCCATAGTGACCCAGATCAGCAAGTGGAGTCCTTTCTATGAAATATAAATTCAATGGTTTGGCTCATCTATAGACTAAGGGAACTATACCATATCATGTCACACCCAAGGTTGCCTCATCCCAGAGAGCTGGTTGTCTGGATCTATTCTCCAGGAAAACATCACTGATGAACTCACACCTTGTGATCAAAATGTGAGTCTTCATTTCAGAAATCCCACCCACGTTTTTTTAGAGTAGTAGTGATGAATGTTCTAGAGATTTTATCAAGAAACTGAGCTTCAGATCAATAATACGATATGGACAGTGTTTCTCAGACTGTATGTGGTGCTTCAAGTGAAGGAAGACTTAAAAGCCCAACATCTGTTGTCCAAATGGGCAAGGCTAGGGCCAGAGTTGTTCATCTCTGCAGTCACATGAGGTCCCGGTTCATTTGTAGCCACTGCCTTGGGTCCTGCACCATTTTCTGCCTGCCTGTCCTCTCAGGAATAGGACATTCCCCACGGTTCAAGAACTTGGTTTTTTCAAGTGAGTGTTCCTTGTCATGAGCCAAATTCAGTCTGGCTACCAGCCTTTGTCCCTGCCTGTTCCCAGATGCACACTCCACCCTGTCATATATCAGCCTCGTGTGTGTGTGTGTGTGTGTGTGTGTGTGTGTGTGTGTGTGTGTGTGTGTGTGTATGTGGCGGCGGGGGGAGTGTGTGTGTGTGTGTGTGTGTGTGTGTGTGTATCCCTAAAAATTTAGCTAAGAGAAGTTAACGTGCTCTGTTACAGAGGTCCATAGCATCCTCAAATATAGAAATAGTTGTAATGGATCTTCTTTTCTCAGAAAGGTTGTACTGAAATATTAAAAGAACCTTCAGTCAAAAAATAGGCATGGCATCAGTGCTCTGTAGCAGCTAGCTGACTCAATGCTAGAAAACATTTAAGATAGAAACAAATGCATCACAAATTAAGAGGAAGCCTATGCATCAGTGATTTGAATATCCTTTAAACCATAGGATGAAATCACCAACTTCTGATGCTCGGCCAAAAAAGATTAAGTAGATCCAGATGTCACAGCCACAAATCCAAACGTTAACTGTACATCTCAAAAGAAAACATTAATAATACTGAAAAGGTGTGTGTGGGATGTATCAGATGGGTTTACACATCAAGAAGGGGCTGATCATTTGTATGTCAAGAAGGCAGTGAGTCAGATTCCTCTGGGTGGTATGAACTACCATCAGCTCTCCACGGCTTATCCTTGTGCTCCTTCCTGGGACATCCATTTCTGTAGTGTGAAGTTTTCTGATGAGTCTACAGTTATGAGGGGGCAAATGATAATAACTAGTAATAATAAAAGGAACACACCCCTAATGTTAATATAATGCACAAAAATAGACTCTGGACTCATTTCCTAGGAACACCATTTAAAGAACATGACCCTCCCTGCCTTGTCCATTTGGATTTGTTTCCAATATGGTGCCATCTGTCCCAAACATCTGTCATCCCGCTGACTACCAAAGTCAGTTTACACAGCGGGGTATTCTCACTTTCATGTATATTTCTGATGACCTATCTTGTCTCACTTAAAACAGGTATAACTCTATGTGAGCAAATTTTTGAAGGCCGTATGACCCAGCCTAAAATTAGAATATTTATGACACAAGAAATAAGATTACAAACATTCAAGTGGATATAACCATTGAACTGTCTGGAGGACTGGATGTCTGGTCATTAGCTTCAAGAAATCATTAGCCTTAAGTCCAAGGGTAATCATTACATGCTAATGTCTGCCTAGCACTTCCAACTCCAGACTCTTCTATCCTCAAGCAGTTGCTGCATTTCCATAAGGAAGAATGTGTGAGATACTTATCACTTCTGAGACATTCTAGGCTGTTTATTCTTTTAATATTCAAATTATGACATTTACCATTTTTAAAGTCCATGTATATAATCAAATAGACTCAGAATGCTCAACTGATGTCACATGATTTGTTAGTGGAAGCTGTGAAGATCTCCTGGAGTTTGGGGAGGTCATGGTCAAAAATGGATAGGCCTCCACTGGGGATTCATGTCATACACTTATGACATTTCCTGGTGGACCATGCAGGGGATTGTGAGGTCACAGCTCCTAGGAGCCACAGTGTTCAGCTCTGCCTTAGCACATTTTTCATTGCCAATAACACTATGCCATGGTCCACTTTCCACTCCCTTCCCCAAAAAATAAATAAGAGGTTCACTTGGATTTTTTTGGTATGGGTTCAATGTCAGGTGTGACACCTTACAGTGGCTTTTTTTTTTTTGATAGCAATGTCTGGGATTGATGCACTGCATTTCATAGTGGGCAAGAGGAAATGTGCATACGTGAGTCCCCTCTGCTCTGCACTCTCTCCTTCTGATGAATTTGCCAGGGACCAAGCATGGGGCTATAATGAGACAACCTTATCACAATCACCCCACAAAAGTGACACCTCTAAATAATTTGAATAATATAGTTAGTGAGATTTTCAGCATCTGGAATGGAGTTTCAACACAGGGGCCCAGAGATCTTATACCAAATCTGTCTCCAAACCACAGCAAGCCCAGCTCTCGAAGCAAGAGGCAAGTAAAGGATAGACAGTGTGGGGGACTGGCAAACTAGACAAAAAAAATCTGAGGAATAAATCCAGTGAGGGTTTCATTTTCAAATTTGAACCGTGGTTTCCTCTATGACACCAGAAACAAAATAATCAGAGGAGAGTTTGGGAGGAAAGTATGCAGTGAAATATTTTCAGAATTCTTAATTATTATTCTATTGATTTCTCAAAACTCTTGCTATCATTAGCATCAAAGTCATATCTTAAAAGTCATCTTATTAAAACTAACATTAGTAAAGCAGAAGTTGTTGTAATATAATCAGAATCTGGAGTCTGAATAGGATTGTTCACAAAAGCCAAGAACCAATTGACAGTGGGCAAAGGGAATGTGGTATAAATACAATGCACACAGCCGAGTGTTAGTGGTACCATCAAGGACAGTAAAACGACAGGCAAATGGCTAGAACTAAAGACTACCGTGTTAGACAAAAGTAGCCAAACTCAGAAAGACAAAATGTCACATTTTCTCTCACATATAGAAACTAGATTGAAAAAAAGGACATAAAAATAGAAGGGAAACTATTTGAGAAAAGGAAAGGAACAGAGGGGTAAACAAAAGAGGGTATTGAAGCAGATGTGATTAATTACATTATTAACATGTATGAAAATGCATGATGCCATGGTACTCTTGTACACACACACACACACACACTTATATAGTTTAGTTGACAAAGTCATCTTCCAAACAAAAAATGACTTCAAGTGGATGGAGTAACCATGAGCCCTACCCACACCTACTGATGTGGCTTCATTAGGAAGACATGTGGTGTGGGAACATCAAATTGTTACTATCAGTCAAAAAGATCCACAGGTTGAGTGCACAGATGCCAATGAAAAGTCTTTCCAAGCCATTGTCTATTGATGGTGTACAATTACAGGAAAGGAAAATCTCCTTCCTCCTAGTCTTCATTCTCTTCCACCTCTTAAAACTCCATCTATTCCTCCTCCTCCCCTGCCTATCAGCCTTCTTATCAGTCAATGGGATGTGTCACCAGGCTTTCCCATCAGTCAGTGGCATGTGTAACTATGTTTTCTGCCCTTGGAGGAGGGAACATGTTCTCAAAGACTGGGAAAGTCTGGCTGTCAACAGCTTCCTTTCTGGCCAGAAGAAGAAGGGTGGCTTTACTTTCTGTTTACTTTGTTTTCCATAAAACAAAGCAGAAAAGCTATTCTTGTAATCAAGATATACCCAGTCAACTCATTTGAGTCTGGGACAGTGTCTGAGTTTAGGCAACCAACACAGGATGTTAGTCTTCTGATCTTCAGGCATTGTGGTCCAATCTTGTGCTTTTCTTCTTTAAACATTTTACTTTGAGAAAAATTATAGATTCATATACACTGTGACAAATGCTACAGAAAGGCCCTTGCTTCATTTGTCCTACTCCCCCCCCGTGACATCACTTTTCAAGAAGAGGCTTCCACATGAGAACTGGGATACAGACCTTGATGTCATCCACCAACACATGTTGTGCTTTGATAACCAATTAACTCTATGTATTGTAGCAGTAAAAGTTATATAGAGCACAGACCTCAGAATCAGCCATGGTACCAACCTGGATATCCTCATCTTCAGCCACAAGAAGAATGGGTGAGGGATGGTAGCAATCTGAAAATCTTGTTAATTTTTAGTAAACCTAGTAGTAAGTCAGGGTGGATGATTAAGATGATATTATGTACAATTATGAGCAGGATGCTTTGTAGGCTGAAGGATGGGTTAAAGGCATTGCCAAGTTACTGTGTCACCTTCTTGAAGTGATCTAAGCTCTCACACAATGACAACACTTACAATGGACAATGAACATTTTTGCATTCTGTTTCAGCTTAGGATTTCCTAAAATTAAGATGACAGAGTGTAATGAGGGGTATATTCCAATCACCAAAGTGCAGAACAGAAAGCTTATGCTTCCTAAGTGGAAGACTTGAGTAGAGACCACAAGAGCCACCATGTAGTGGGTGAAATAGAGGATGAAGAATGATAGGATGGACAGCATTGCACTGATGTGGCCATGTCTGCTAGGTTCCCTGGTGCCTGCCATAGTCCTCATCTGCCAGCAGTGGTTACACAGGGAGAAGATCAAGAGCAGAACAGCAACAATGAAGATGAGGGATGGCAGCGTGAGCCCGAGGATAAAGATGGAGAGTGGCAAGACATGTATCTGTTTGACCTGAGTTGAATTTTCAGAAAAATAGTGTGTAAAGACTTGTTTGGGAATTGTTGAAGTCTCTCTGCCATGGATCAAAGCAATAGTAGTTGCATGGAGCACAGACCCAAGGATCAGCCACGGTACCAACCTGGATATCCTCATCTTTATCCACAAGAAGAGTGGGTGAGAGATGGTAGCAATCTTGGCACAATAGAAAACACTGAGCCATGTGGCTAACCAAAGACTCAATTCATTTATAAAGAAGACAAAGGCAATGCTGTTAGCAAATAAAGAGTATTTTTCCAAGCAGAATATATCCAGTTGCGCCAAAAAGACAAACATCAGCAGAATGATGCGAGTAGTTGCCAGGCAAGAAAGAAGCAGATCCAACGGGGCCATTTTCCTCCGAATGATCAAGTCAATAGCATTGACAACCATAATGAGGCCATTTGCCAGGACCCCAGTGAACAACTGCACCACCACGACCAGAAAGAAGAAGATATGACCTTGCACCATTTTAAAGAGGAAAACCGATGGCTTCTTTAAATGATGTGAAGAGATTTTCACAGTCTCTGCTTTATTTTAATTAGACCAGAGCTTCTTGGAGATGATGCTAACCAGGAAGACAATGGAAGAGGAACATGGGACTCATTTGTTTATACTGTTTCCTTCTCAACTCAAAGACAGTCAAATGAGGAAGAGATACTATAGAAACAAATTGTGTCTTACTGATAGGTTTTGCATTTTTCAGGTCTGCTTATGTTTCAAAGTTATACAAGCAAACAGGGCAACCAGATACCTTCAGCAGGCTATTGAGGAGCTCCTTCATGACTAGCCTTCCTTATCATTCTACTTAATGCTAATGAAGCATCCTCAAGCAACATAAAAAAACAAATCACTTCTGTCATAGTGATGACATAGGAGTAGGAATGTAAGATCAGTCCTCCAGTCTACAAAATCAGCAATTCAGGACTACCTCATAGGTGGTTAAATAACAAACCACACATGATAAGACAAGACTAATAGGTGCTAGGAAGATGGCTCAGTTGCTAAAGTACCCACTGCACAAGCATGGGAACCTAGAAGTCACAATTTTAAGAAAAGTCAGCTGTGGCAGTAACATACTCACCTGCCTTCCAGCATCAGGGAAGCAGAAAACAGGCAGATATCTGGGTTCACTGGTCAGTCCCACCTAGCAAAATCTTTAGTCTAATGTTCTCCCAATAGAGCCACTTGAGCCGCTGCCTCCCAAATGCTGGGATTAAAGACACGTGACAGCACCACCCGTCTGAAGGCCTCTTTTACCAGGTGCTTTGGTTTTTATGTGCTCTCAACTCAATAACAGTTTGCATGCTTACTGTGCTCATGACTCCACATGAGAGTAGGATGCTCATGACCCTACCTTAACCAGATCATTTTCCTGGGATTCCAATGAAGGATGAACATTTGGAGAGGACAATGGCAATGTAATTCAAATCTCTAATTAGGATATGGTGACATGCCAGAAAGTGTCTGGCTTAGGCTAGAAGTCTAAGGGAATTCATCCATCCCCTGAAACACAAACCCTGAGACCACTTGTCATCAGCTATATCAGAGACCAGAAAATGAAGCAGCCAATAGCTCATAGCAAAGGAAAGATGAGAGAGGGATGGGTAGTCAGATCTTCTCACACCCACTTAGGGTGCCATGTGCAGAAATAGTATTAGTGAGCAGGAACATGAATGCATTGTAATCTCATTCTCTTTCTACCCACAGCACCCTGTGATCACTGCATGGCAAGAAAGAAGGATTAAGTAAAAGACTATCTGAAGAAAGAACACTGAGGCAGGTCCCCTGAAGGTGACAACATGTCAAAGTTTGTGACTTAAAGTCATTTATTCTTTTTCTGTAATTATCTTCATAGCAGCTTTGTCAGGTATCTTTTATCCAATGTTATCTACCATGTCTTTTGAGACAGGGTCTTTCACTGACTTAGAACTAGGCCAGCCTGTGACCAGCAGGGATACATCCTCTTGTCTCTAGTTCTTCAGCACTAGGACTATAGACGTGCCACCACATCTTAGGGCTCTGAGGAACTATCTCAGGTCCTCATGCTCATGAATCAAACACTTTACCCACTGATCCATTTCTCCTGCCATGACTGGAATTCTTTGCAATCACTCAATGCCATTATTTTCTACTTAGAGCTCTACTTATTTTTCTTTCTTCAACTAGAAAAGGAAGGGTGACACACAACAATCACCAGGGTGATTTTGTGACCAGAGCCATTTGGTAATGTCTGAAATGGTTTTGATTGTCACAAGCTGCAGACATGGTGTGTTGGTAGCATCTGACAGGTAGTCAGGTCTCTTACAGCCATCCCCTACACTGACTGCACAGGACTCCCCTCCACCCACCAAATAAAACAATTTTCCATTTCAGAATGTCAATATGGTTGAGGATGAAACAAATATGGTTTAGCTCAACATGTGGCACATTATGAACAGTGAAATGTTAACTTGTTTTTTGTTTTTTTTTTTAATCTGTGAAACAATCCCCCGACAACACAATGATTATATACTATTTTGTCTTTACTTGCACGATCTTCCTTAGACTTTGCCCAGAATCTGTGCATATGTGTAAACTGTATTACTGATCTTTGTGTGTTTGTATGTTGCATGTTCATCTTGAGGGTGCTCATTTGTGTGGAAACCAGAGTTCAGCCATGAGTATTACTCCTCAAGGATGTGGTTCACCTTGTTTTTATAAGACTTGGCTAGGTTCAGCTCCTTGAGGCAATAAATTCTGATGAGTCCTTATTGCGACATTGAGGACCTCTTTTTCTTTTTTAAAAAAATATTTGAGACAGAGTTTCTCTGTGTAGCTTTGTAGACCATGCTAGCCTTGAACACACAGAGATCCATCTGCCTCCATGCCATCTTGCTTCCTGCCATAACGATAATGCACTAAATCTCTGAACTGTAATCCAGCCCCAGTTAAATGTTTTTCTTTATAAGAGTTGCTGTGGTCATGATGTCTCTTTACAGTAATAGCAACAGGCACAGTAGGTGACCCTGTGTTTAACATAATATAAAAACAAAGTTCTTTAGACAAGTCGCCTGCACAGGACTGAAAAGTGAGGACAGTTTACAAATGTTGGAAAAATTGAAACTTCTCACAGAACCAAGTTGGGGCATGATGATGGCATAAGACTCGCTCTTCTTCCTCTGCTGAAAAGAGGCTACCCTAAATGCAAATCACTTTTACTTTGCATTTGGAAGCCCAGGAAAGCAAAAAATGGAGAAGCATCCATCTAAGGAATGGTGAAGCTAAGAATGCCAAAAAAATAAAGAAAAAAGTCATTACCTGGACTTCCTTGTTCTCTCACTCAAGCTTTCTGCCACTGTACCTGGCACATCAATTGCAAACAGGACTGATCTGACCTATGCACCATGAGGATCAGCACTTGTTCATTCATTCATTTCTTGGTTCATGAAGTGGAACCAAACTTCATAGCAGAGGGAGAGACACAAGTCACTCTGCAAGGGTTTCTGTCTGGCTTCCTGGACAGCAGGTGTACAATATTAACAGTTTTCTTTGTCTGTTTTAGCATTGCAGTGACATTTACAGTATTAATCAGTCTCCATTGTGCCTCCAGCCTGGGTCACGGGGTCATGGGGTTCACTATTGCAAAGTGGATCACTAGAGCACATAACAACACAAGTGAAGAGAGGGAGAGAAGGTCTGAGGCAAGAACAACAGTGTAACCTCTCAGCCCTGAAAGAAAACCAGAAAAGGGGACACTCAGTCTTCCAAAGACTCAATCATGCCCTACCCTGTTCGTCTCTTGCACCCTAGAAGCTGTAGAGGCCACTGGATTTGCAGATAATTCATTGTACCTTAGAACCAGCCTGAGAAACAGAGACAATAGAGGGAAAACACAACTCATAAGGCTTAAACTACAGCTTTATTATTATTATTTATTTTTTTTTTTGGTCATTGTCTCGTCAACAAGCAGGATGACTGTCAAAAAGCATTTCGCCCCAGGACAAACTCTGTCACCAGCTTGTCTGAGACATCCATGTCTTCTTGTGTTGTATCTGTGTGCTCATGTGTGCACAGATGTGCATGTGTATACAGATGTGTATGTATGTGCAGGTGTGTGTATAAAAGTGTATATGTGTGCAGGTGCATATGTGTGCAGGTACATGTGTGTAAAGGCATGTGTGAAAAGGCGTGTGTGTGTGTGTGTGTGTGTGTGTGTGTGTGTGTGTATGTGTGTGCAGGTGTATGTATGTGTATATAAGTGTGTATTGCATAGGTACATGTGTGTAAAGGTGTGAGCGTGTGTGTGTGTGTGTGTGTGTGTGTGTGTGTGTGTGTGTGTATAGGTGCACAAGTGTGCATTTTTGTATGGAAATCAGAGGTCAACCTTGGGCATGTTGCTTCTCAGAATCGAAGCCACCTTATTTTTTAAAACAGGGTCTCTTGATGGAATAAAGCACATAGATTCTGCTAGGCTGGCTCTCTAGTGTGCCCCCAGAGATCTGCCTGGCTCCACCTCTCTGATAATGAGAGCATTTGTCACCATACCTAACTTTATTTACCTGTGTTCTAGGGGACTGAACTCAGTTCCTCACGCTTGCAAGGTAAACAGTCTACCATGACCTCAAAAGTACATCTTGTTATTTTATTGGTGGTTCTTGAGACTGCCCCTAGAGCCTTGCCTTTCCTAGTTCAACTTCAATGTATAGCACTCATTACAAAGTTTGATTGAAGGGAAATACTGTAGAATAAGAGTGTCTGTGAATAGCAGGTAGAAACTGTGGGATTGCTATTTGCATGGCCCATTCATCACCAGGAAGCTGCCTATCAGAAAAGGCATCCAAGGTCAGGTCTTCAGTCTCTCTCAGGAGCCTCCAGTGTCAATCAAGGTAGCTATGGACATTGGCTGCATTGTTGTCGTAGGTAAGATCGAGCTAAATATTTTAATGATCAATGAAACAAATTAAAGAAAAGGCGGCTCCTGAAAAGAGAGCCCCCTTGGGTCTTTCAGGAGGTTTCTTTTAGTGCAAAGAACACATCAGAGAGTTCCTGGCACTGAGATGAAAACCATACACGTCCGACTTCACCTGTCAGTCAGCAGCTCAAAACGTTGACAGTTTTACATGGACAAATGGCTTGGAACAGATGGAGTAGGACCCGGTGTGGAGAAATTCACATGATCATTACCCCGTATTACCCTGATTAAATGTGTTCACTCGCACTCATCTGTAATGAGCACTCATTAAAGGAGACAGCCCTAAATATTCTTGAGGGAACTGACAGGCGGAAAAAGTTGCTTATTTATATTCAAATCATTTAGCGGCTGGATAAGAAGTGTGGTCTTTTTTTTCACATGCCGCTGGATTGATGCAGGCAGGCTTTTCAGCAGGTACCTGCTGCAGCCCTCATCTCTCTGCTTTCCAGCCACACACAGACGTTCGCTTTGATAGAGTCATCATGAAAGTAAAAAGGGAGCAACAGTGCAATGCCCT